CTCTTGGACTCCTAGTCCCTCCTATCTTGGTTCCCTATAGGCTCAACAGTACTTTATTGACAAATGCACAGGACTTCCCCCAACACTGTGCAACCACTCCATCCCCAGAATAACCCACTTAAAAATTGTTTTAGCTTATTAATTTGTTTTTTACATTCTAATCCCAGTCCCCCCTCCCTACTCTCCTCCTGCTCTCCCCACTTCCCCCACCCCACCTCCCATCTGCTCCTCAGAGAGGGTAAGGCCTCCCCTAGGAAGTCTACTGAGTCTGTCCCATCACCTCAATGAAACAGGACCAAGGCACCCACCCCATCCCTGTGTCCAGGTATCCAGGCTGAACAAGGTGTCTCTCCATACAGAATCCACAAAGTCAGTTTGTGCATTCGAGTTAGATCCTGGACCCACTGCCAGTGGCCTCATACACTGCCCCAGCAGAATAACCCACTTTTGATGAACTCACTCTGATGTTGAAATAAGCCCACTAGTTAAATCCGAGGACCTTGCTTAGCACTGGGGGTTTCAAGCAGAGTGAACTAAAGCAGCCCAGACCTCCTCCTCGTCAGCAGTATTGGGCTTCAGTTTCATCGTTTGCACCTGACTTTTCTTCACACGACAGGGACAGGAAAACCAGTCTGTCAAAAGCTGGACGTGGGTAATCACAAAAAGAAGCCCCTTCCTGTAGTGCTGGCCAGCAGACCCCACCACGGGTCCGTCATCACTGAGGTGCACACCTTGCCCCAAATTACCAAGTATTGTGTTTTGTTTAGACAAGATCTCATGTAGCACAGGCTGGCCTTGAACTCAGTATGTAGCCGAGGATGACCTCCAGCTACTGGTCTTCAGGTCTCCACCTCCCAAGCGCTGGGATTATAGGCGTGCATAACCGCTCTGGGCTCAGGCCTTGCTGTGGATGGATCCCAGAGCTTCGTGCACGTAAGGCAATCCCTCTAGCAATCTAACCATATGCGGCCCTCATTACATTTTCTCTTTCTCTCTTCATTGTGAGGACAGAGTCTCTTCTGTGTAGCCTCGGATGGCCTGAAACTCATTGTGTAGGCCAGGCTGACCTTGAATTCACAGAAATCCATCTGCTTCTGCCTCCTGAGTGCTAGGATTAAAGGCGTGGGCCACCATGCCCAGCCCCACAGTACCAACTTTTAAGAGGACTTCATTGTTCTGTGTTCCTATCAGTACCTTTATGAAGAAAAGAAAGGTCCCCCTTAACGGAAGTGTGAATTCTAGACACAGCTTCCTTCTCTCAGCATTCTTGTGAGGGACACACAAGATGACATAGCTAGCTGAACAGCTAGTTTATATTGAAAACTTGGTGGAGCCTCTCCTCTTTTTCTTTGAATATTAAAAAAAAGCTCTTGTAAAACCTAGTTCATGGTGCCTCCCTTCTCCAGAGCACTGAGTTCAAAGCTTCCACTCCTTTCTGAGCAAAGACCACAGCATGGATTTAGGACACTGCCTGAGGTCCATCATTTTTGGAGGGCCTGCCCAGTTTCTCAAGTCACTTGCACAAACCTCTGGTTTAACATGTAAACCTTGGATTTCTTGTATTTCCACTGGACCAAAAGGCCCCCTTTTTCTTCCAACAACCTATACTGGACTCAGGTCACCGAGGTCATCTTATGCCAGCATGTCAGTTAACCCCGACTATGCCAAAGCACTTCTCAGACAGGAGTTTGGGGCTTAGCTGTTTCTTTTCCCAATAGTGAATTAATTCCCTTGTTTCAACACTAGAAGAAAAGTTTTAGTCTTTTGCTCTGTATGTGTGTGTATGTGTGTGTGTGTGTGTGTGAATGTGTGTAGGTTGCCATGCATGTGTGTGTTGTGGAGAGCTCAGAACTGTGTGTGTGTGAGAGGGGAGTTTATGCATGTGGGGAGAGGTGTGCCCATGAATGTGTGTATGGGAACCCAGGCGCGTGTGTGTGTGTGTGTGTGTGTGTGTGTGTGTGTGTGTGTGTGTGTGTGTGTGTGTGTGTGTGTACTTGCAGGCCATCACAGACATTGAGCATCTTCTTCCATCACTCTGTTTTGGGAGACAGGATCACTCACTAACGTAGAACTTGCTGTTCTGGTGAGGCGAGATGGCAGCGAGCACCCTGGATGCGCTTGTCTCCTCCTCCATGCTGGTGACAGATGTGCACCACTGCACTTGCTAGGTGCTGGAGATTCAGACCACGAGTGTGCCACAAGCACTTCACCCACCGAGCCTGCTCCCCACCTTTTCTTTCTCTTTCTTCCTTTTCCTTTTTTTTTTTAAGTTTTTTGTTTTGAGGGGAATTCCAATGTTCAAGCTAGTTTCAATTTCCAATGCTCTCTGACCTCGCAGGAAGCCTTTAAAAGCTTGTCTCTGAAACCATACATTTTCCAACAACACTTACATAAAGTCCACCTTTTGTATTGTAATTTTCTTTTTCAGGATCCAGAGTTAAATATGTGAAAGTGAGGCTCTAGAAAAGAATTTTCATTTGCCAGAGGCTGGAGCCAACTGGCTGAGGAGCCAGCACTTCTACTGGACATTTCCTCACAGCTGCTGGGGAAGCCATGCTCGGTTGAGGGAAGACAGCCATCCGTGGAGCTTTCAATAAATGCCACGTAGGAAGATTCGGGCCTGGGAGATGTTCATGGACAAAGCGCTTGCCATCCAAGTGTGAGGACTGGAGCTGGAATCCCCAGAGCCTGTGTGAATAAATACCAGGAGGGCATGGTGGCCCACCTGTAATTCCAACCCTGGGAGCAAGCCAGCTATCTTGGTGAGCTCTGAGTTCAGTTGAGAGACTCTGCCTCAATGAATAGGATGGAGAGCTATCCCTGCCATACCCAATGAATGAGATGGAGAGCTATCCCTGCCACACCCAGTGGTACCACTGGGCCTTACACATGCCTATAGGCAGTTGAACACCCAAGTCACAAGCGCATACAGATGCAAATGGAAGGCATGAACGGGGGTGGGGAGCCACAGCTGTAATACCAACATCAGCTTGGGCTACATAATGGGACTCTTTTTTTTTTTTTTTTTTTTTTTTTGGTTTTATGAGACAGGGTTTCTCTGTTTTGGAGGCTGTCCGTCCAGCCTGGCCTCGAACTCACAGAGATCCGCCTGCCTCTGCCTCCCGAGTGCTGGGATTAAAGGCGTGCGCCACCAACGCCTGGCTCATAATGAGACTCTTAAGAAAAGTCGTTTAGAAAGTTGACAACTTGGCTCTTTATGAAAAGGTAAGGAAGTGATTCTCAACCTGTGGGTCCCAACCCCCTGAGTCAACTGACCCTTTCACAGGGGTTGCCTAAAACCACCAGAAAACAGACATTTACATTGATTTATAACAATAGCAAAATTAGTTATGAAGTAGCAATGAAATAATTGTGTGGTTGCCCCCAACAACATGAGGAACTGTATCAAAGGGTCGCAGTATTAGGAAGGTTGAGAACCACTGGAGAGTGAATGATGGTCATTAGGCATACATTTTTGTTTGTTTGATTTTCAAGACAGGGTCCCACTATGTAGTCCTGGCTGTCCTTGAATTTGCTCTGTAAATCAGGCTGGCCTCAAACTCAAGAGATCTGCCTGCCTCTGCTGGGATTAAAGGCGTGCATCACCACTGCTAGGCAGGGCCATTAGGTACACTTGACAAGATTTCATGAGAATGGTACTTTTGTGTGGTGTGTTGTACTCTGTCTGTGTATGTTCTTGTATGGCTGTGTACATGGGTGCATGCAAGCCCATGTTTTGTTGTTGTTGATGTGTGTGTGTGTGTGTGTGTGTGTGTGTGTGTGTGTGTGTGTGTGTGTGTAAGCCAGTGGTTGACATTATGGTCTTTTTCACTCTCCAACTTTTTGTGACAGGGTTTTTCACCAATCCTGAAGCTTACAGATTCAGCCAGGCTGGCCAGCTGGCCAATGAACTTCAGGGATCTATCTCTACCCCTGACATTACAGGTGCCAACAGCCATGCCTAGCTTTTCACATGAATTTCGGGGGTCAAGTTAAAGTCCTCATGCTTATGAAGCAGGCACTTGCTGAGTCATCTCCCCAGCCAGGAATGCTTATTTCTTATCATCTACGATGGCCTCTGGGCTGGTCATCTGTTTTTACAATTAGATTTATGGGAATATACAACATAGAAAAAGGATACTTTGTGGTTCTAAACCCCATACTGCTGCCTACTAAGAAGGTATCAGACTAACCCCAATAGAACATCCCATAAAATCTCTGGCTGGCACTCCTCAAAACTGCCAGTATTGGAATGAACAAGAAAGGCTGGAGAACAAGGGACGTCCAACAGCTGAGAGGAGACATGACAAATGTCATTCAGGGTCCTGCATGACCTCCCGAAGACTTCAGGGGTAAGTGAGGAATCATGGGAGGCTTTCCTATATAATTGCCATGCTTTCTGTATTGACTCTTTGAGACAAGGTGTTGCTTTAGACCATACTGTAGCTAGCCTAACCAGGAACTCCAGTCAATCCTCCTGCCGTAGCCCTCCAAGAGCTGCAATTAGCAGTTGTAAGCCACAAGCTCAGCTCGTTATTGGTTCATTATTAGTGACAAATAATCCAAACAAATACCAAACGTTCACTGGGGAAGCAGTTACAGGGTGAAATGCTCGGAATCCTTACTACCTGCCCAACCACATTCCTCCACTCTATTCTAAATTAAGGTTTACCGGTGGGGGGATAAAAAGATGATGGTGATGTTGACTGTTTTTTTAAATATGCATTTGATTATAACACGCTTAAGAGTAATCCTGCTACAACTGGATGAGGCTGGGGCCCAGAAGCCTTCAGAGATCCTGCGTCACAACAGTGGAGACATGAGGGCTCCATGTAGCCACATCTTTAGTCGGCAACTGTTTCCACAGTGGCAGAGCTGCAGAGACGCCGGGTAGATCTCTGTGCCTTCAGCAGGCTGTGCAAACTTCTGCTTTCCAATGTGAAAATCACCCCCTGCTTCACACTCAAGTGTCAGAGTTAAAACAACACCATGCTATCAAATCGTTTATAAATGTTTATTAAATGTCAGTAATTTGTACAAAGCAAATATTAATAGTAAAGAGACAAACTTTGCAAAATATGTACAAAAGTAAGAAGCCTTAATGAATAGCAACTTGTTTTATAAAATGAAACCATTCCTTCCACTCTGAGACCTCCTGTAGAAATAATTTACTGCTACTTTGGAACCAAAACACTGGCCAAAAAAAATTTACAACAGTATCAGATAATGTGCTTAGTTCCTGGAAAGTTATAAAAAGATGTATGAAAAAAAATCTAAGCCACAAATACTTTCATACAGGGTAATATAAACCATGTCTCATTAGGGACAGTATCTGAGGGTTGCACTGAGTGCTTTGGATAAGGCTTCTTGTGCCCCATGAGCTTATGCCTAATGGAGAAAAGCCACCTAGAATATTTTGCGATTCTGCTTTCAAGTAGAGGTAAAGAGAAAGCACACAGTATACCGTCTGCTTCATTACCACACACCCCCAACAAGAGCACACTGCTCCTTCCTCCCTGTCACTCCTGGCACCATCAAACGGGCATGGGTAATATCAAAATCGCCACTCACTTTAGCAGGGTTGTGTCTGTGAATAAAATCAGAATTACAAACCAAGAAGGTAGTTTATTATGATCAGCGATTGTCACAGATTGAAAACGTATGCTTCCTGGATTTAGGCAGGCTTCAATCCATCTCAAATGTCATCACGATAACATAGCAAAGGTCACAAAACTCACTTTGCAGCCCACAGAACACTGTCCCCATCCTAGTGCCTTAAAAGGCAAGTGGGAGTCTCTGCACTTGGGAAGCTGAGCCAGTAGGATCTCAAATCTGAGATCAACCTTGGGTACACAGGGAGACCCTGTCTCAAAAGCACACAAATACACAAGCAAACAAATGTAAAACAATGCTCTGTGCCATCCCTGGCACTCAAAACTGGCTGCTTAGACCTGAAAGCTGTATGTAGGGATGGACAGGTCAATTCAGGTGGACGGAAGAATGTTAGTGGACAAACACTGTTTTGATCAATCTGGCGAACGCCTGCCAGGCAAGGCTAGCAGTATGTAGCTGATGGTATCTGAAAAGTTATCATCAGGGTTTAACACAGAATTCAATCTCTAGTGTAAACTGCCTAAGCCCTAACCTCGTACCATAAGAAAACGGGCATCATGTGCCCCAGGCTTTCTAGACTGAAAAGCCATCCCAACTTTAGAAAAAGAAAAGAAAGTAGAAAGTGCTTTCATTCAAGCAGCACAACACAAAGATCCCTTGGCTCATGGGCTTCAGTGTGCTGGAACCACAGGAAAGAGACATGCAACCAAAGGCCGGTTTCCAAATGGTTGAGGACCTGCAGATCTTTACTCTCCATCTCCCAAGTAAAATTAAAAGACATGAAAAGGTAACAGAGCCGCTTTCTCTAGGTTTATTTGGGAATTTGTTACAAATATTTAACTGGACTTTACAGGTAGGGTTCATACAGGAAATTCAGATTAACACTGACACTTTGTCTTCTCAAATGAGAAAAATAAAATCACTACAAATTGTAACTCAGAGCCACATTTCAAATGGTTTGTTTGGGGTTTTGCCTAAATGTATCATTAAATAATGAAAGCACCAATTTGAGGGATTTCCAAATAACTTGAGTTTCAGAATATAACCGCATAACTTAGACATTATTCTTCTTCATATGAGCGAGGCATAACCGGATGTGAGTATCAATGCTGAGAAATACATTCCGTCAGAACAGAAGACCGAGAACTTGGGCTAACCCCGGAAGGTGATTTACTTAGAGGGCATAAGCTTTTTGCTGCATCTAGTGACACTTCTTGTCACTTCTGGGACCAATGTGGTCTTACTTTCTCTTACTTGAAATCAACAGCTTCCACCAACTGAACAAGCATTCCCCTGTAGTGTGTGGGTTTGAAAACTTCACGGAGGACCCCGTAGGCGTGAAGTACCCACCAATGCCTGTTACAGGAAACATGCTCCTCTTTAGGACACCCGTCTTGTTTGGCTGCAATTGCCCTCTGGCTATAAAGTACCCTGTCCAGAGAGAAAAACTAAAATGGAGGCTTCAATTTAATACAGAGAGTATTTGGCAGGAAGAAACATTTCAGGCATTTCAGTACATTAAAAACATTTAAGTGGTAGAAACACACCTTGAATTAAGATCGTAAGAAACCATGGAACAAAGCCCTTTCCTCATTTAAAAAAAATTAAGGTGTAATTTGTGATGTTCTTTCATTTATAAGGCAACTCTGTAAAATATAAAAAATTTCAAAGTCAACCAAGACACTTGTGTGATCATTTGTTGGTATGTAGCAAGGGTGCAGATCTCAGAACAGAGAAATGTGGAGTCAGGCACCGGTAATTCCACTCACCCCACGACATGCAAAGCCCAGGGCCCCACAGAGCCTCAACTTCAGGTTACACTTTAGGGACTGGGGTGTCAGCACAGGGAGGGTCGAGCACTTTTTCAAGTCTATTGGCTAAATCTCACCTTCCTCTTCACACAACAATATTTCAGTATTTCAATTAGGATGTAGGTGTTAGATTCCTTTCAAATGTGGACCAGAGCTTTCTGGCTGAGCCTCACAGTTCTTTGCACTCTAAACAATCCTCTATCTATTGCCAGTGAGCAGTCCACTGCTTCAGCATGCTCGACTGCATTTGGGTAGAGATTCTGCATGCTTCACAAGGAAGTGCAGATGCCTGGGATGCTGTGTCTAGTTGGTGTTCCTGTCACTTCCTGGTGATAGTCACAATGGAGAAAGTCAGTGATTCTGCTCAATCAGAGCTCAAGTGTAACTGGATAAAACTGCTTTCTGGAGGGACTGACTTTTGCCTTCACTGCAGTTAGTTTTGGCCAATGCACAAAAATGTTTGCTAAATTAACACAGAATAAACCAAATGTTATTGTGCACATGTTCAAATGTTCATCAGCACTGGCGTTATGCTAACCCCATGAATTTAAATGACACATTCTTTTTGGCAAAAAGGACTAGATGTAGAACCATTTAGATATACATAAATTATGCTAACAACACCTGTACTGTGATATTGGACTACATGTCTTAAGCTCATGTATTACCAAGGCAAGAAAACACTGGAATTTATAAATAGAAAGACAGCAAAAGTTCAAAGTCAAGACAAGTCAGGTCTATCAAGAACACACCCCCTTTTAGCACACTAGAAGGCCCAGCTCTCACACCTGCCAGTAAGGAATAAGGACTGCCACCGTCTGTGAGCCACAAAGTTGACCAATCTCTCAGGGCCCCATTTCTTGCCTGAGAAGAGTCACACAGTAAAATGACAGGCACCACAGTACTCATGCATTCTCCAAGGAAAGCAGGGGTGTGCTCAGGCTCTGCAAACTCTCATAGGCCAGCTGGAGCATGACAAATGTTTTACACCACCAGTCACTATGGTACATCTAATCACAAAGCTACATTATGGGCATGGTTTAACTTAGCAGTGGTGAGTGTGAGTGAGTGAGTGAGTGAGTGTGTGTGTGTGTGTGTGTGTGAGAGAGAGAGAGAGAGAGAGAGAGAGAGAGAGAGAGAGAGAGAGAGAGAGAGAGAGAGAGAGAGAGAGAGAGGAGAGGCAAACCTCCATTGAGTATGGACCAAAAGAATTGCGTATCCTTAGCTGCATTCTTAAGTCATTCAAATGTACCCCAATAAAGCTGTCACCTCATAACAACAACACCAACACACACAAACTGTGTCGACAGGGACACGAAGCATGAATGGTCTACTCAAATAATACCTTCTTGATTATTTCACAGGAAAATACTGCCAGTGACAAAAGGACCCCTAAAATGCCACAGTTCAGAGTTGCTGAGATTGAGACAGGAGGGCAAAAGAAAGAAGACCCAGCGATGATTCCCTCCAGCGAGGCACAAAACCAACTGAGACAGGACCAGAGTCATACATGTGGCACTCGGGAACAGCTATGCTGACTCTTGTTACCAAGGGGCTTGCCCTTTCTAGCTGTTGCTATGGCCAGAATGTTTCTAACAGGGCACATCAAGTTACTGATACTCAAATATGGAAAAGGCAAAATGCACATCACTGGCTATTTCAGATCAACATAGTACATGTACCATTTGTGAACGCATCAGCATCAGGCTAAATCCATACTGTAAACTTAAACACTAAGACATTACCTTCAGAAACTAAAGAAATGGAGACGAAAACTACTGCAGTGTGTAAGCAATTACAAACACAGGAAGGCTAAGCCTCTGAAGATCTATTTCTTAGACTGAACTTTCTCTAACAGTCCTTCCAGAACAGGGGCTCACTCTAATTAGGCATGCCACTGCTGTGTAAGGCACTCTCTCTCTCGGGTCTCATCTTAGAGCTGAACATTCCTAATCTCGTCCCTACAAGTTGTTAAGGATACTGCCTATTCTTGGCACTGCAGGAGAATTCAGTTTGCAAGCAGAAGAATTCAAAGCCTGAAATACACCTAGTGTGAGGCTGGCCAGGAAGTTACAACTGGACTTGAATGGAAGCCATGGTGATACCGATCAAAGCCTGAATGCCAGCAGATATTGGCAATGTGTTAATTCAGCAGCTTTCAGCCACAAACTAAAGGCCACAGGAGGACTAAGATTTCCAAGAAGTTAGACACAGAACTGAGATCTTTCTAACTGCTGTTGTAAACTGCTATTTAAAAAAAAAAAAACCAAGAGAACAGAAGACAATGAAAACCACGACAAGGCATCAGGACAGCGAGTCTTGCCATCAATCACTGGAGCATGAGCTGCTTGAGGTTGTCGTGGAGGATGGTGTCCTTCACGTCTCGGAACACCAGGCGGATGTTCTCCGTGTTGATGGCGGTGGTGAAGTGGTGGTACAACGGCCTCTGCTGCTGGTCCCGGCGTCTGCCCCTGAAGCACTCCACCAGAAACTTTTGGACGTCTCTTAAGCAGTGTGGGTCCCCTTCAAATTCTACGAAATAGTCTTTGATGCTCACAACTTGCACTTTCTCTTCAAGCAAGTCTGTCTTGTTTAAGAAGAGGATTATAGAGACATTGCTAAAAACCCGGTTATTGACAATTGTCTCAAATATGTTCAGAGACTCTGTAAGGCGATTGGTCAGGCGATCCTCCATAAGCACCTGGTCAAATTCACTTGAGGACACCAGGAAAAGTATTGATGTCACACTGTCAAAGCATTCAAACCAACGTTTCCGTTCTGATCTCTGGCCACCTACATCAACCATTTTAAAAGGGACATTTTTAATTTCAAAGTCATACTCATGGATGCCTTTGGTGGGTCTCCTGGCAAGCAGAATATCTTGCTGTGATGGAATGTAATCCTGGAAGAGAAAAGGGTTTATACTTAGGAATTCACAAGTAGCAATAATGGATGTGCAAATTAAATGATTTTCAAAACAAGACAAGGTCTCACTAGTAGCCCAAGCTGGCCTCTAGCTTGAGATCCTTTGATCCTCCTGCCTCAGCCTCCCAGGAGCTAGAATTAGAGGTGTGGAGTTCCACAATTGGCATGTTTCTCACACATAAGTGGAACTCCCAGACGACTTCACCCGCCTGCACTGCCAACTAGTACCTACTCCTAGGTCAAGGCAGAATAATGCCACTGCCCATGCATCTCCATGCTGTTCCTAGCCCCTCTAAAAACAGGAGGATCTGTGAATAACACATGAGGTTCACTTCCCATGCCTGGCTCTGACCTACTCTCTGATCCATTACACGTGCTTCTTCATTATACACACCTCCACACTGTCATGCGTATGGAGAACACTTTACGTAGCACGAGTGATTAACAAGCACTCTTTAGACCACAGGCGAGTCTGTTTCCAGGCAACAGTTCAAGCAGCTCTTACTCACTGAAGAAGAATGTACTTTGAGCCTCAGAGCCTCTGCTGAGGACCAGCACATTCACACCTGGAAGGCATTCACACCTGGCATACTTGTCTTGGAAGAGCATCACTGCCAAGAATGTTAGCTCTTCCTGAACTCTTCAGGTGGTCACTGCTATAGTGACCCACTGCTACAGTGACTAGGCTGGCATTGTGATGATCCTCCTGCCTCTGCCTCCTTAGTGCTAGGATTATACATTTATGTGCATACAAGAGTGTGTGTGTGTGTGAGCACAGGCACGTGTGCATGCTCTCATGTGGAAGGCAGAGTCCTGTGATGCTGTCCTGGCTGACCTGGAATTGTTGACAATTCTCAGTGCTAAGACTGCAGATCCTGCCACCATGTCAGGCTTTCCAGATCCTGTGAGCACAGAAACAAGATCTTGAACAAAGGCAGCTGCTGGTTGCAGGAGAGAGCAACTACACCCCAGCGGCACACTTGCTTACACGCCCTGACGGTTCTTCTTTCTCAGGCTAGTACTTTTCCATAAGCCACATGGCTCTCTGGCAATACTGAAACGGGAGCAGTTTTAATGCCCATCTTCATGGTGAAAACATTTTAAAAGTCAAGACAGGATGGAAGTCTGACTTACAAGCTGTGGTGCATTTTACGCCTTTCCAAAGGCTCAACACATAGTAGGATTCTGTAGCTTTAATAGTAGAGAAGCAAATGGGATTCTGCGACTTGTCCTAGGGTCACAGAATGAGTGATCAATGCAGCTTTAGTCTCCTCTCCTTCACAACAGCTCTCCTTTGCTTCAGAACTCTTCTCAGCCCAGCAGTTTAAGCGCCTACTAAAAACAGCCAGGATTGGCTAGACTATGTATTTACAAGCTATTTAATGACTGCATACTTTGTGCCAGGCACTGTCACTAAGCAAGTCGTGGTCCTCACAGAAGAATAGGTAGGAGACAAAGTAACTATCAACTGTGATACACGCAGCAAAGAAGCAAGGGCTGATACAGACAGGAAGAGAGTAACAGCTGTAACAGCTGCGGAAGCCTGCTGGGCTAGCACTGAAGTTCAGGAGGAGTTCAAGGTCATCTTTGACTACAAAGTAAGTTCAAGTCTAGCCTGAGTTACATGAGACCTAGCCTAAAAATACTACCCAACAATCAACAAAACCCCAGCAACAATGAAAAGAGGGTGTATATGAATGATGTGTTTAGAGAAAAACCTAACCGAAAAACAGAAAAACAGATCAAATTAACTGTTTAGACTGTAAGAAAGCACTCTTTAAAAAAAAATCATTAGCCAGGCATGATAGAACATGCCTTTAATTTCAGTGGGAGGCAGGCACAGGCAGATCTCAGTGAGTTTGAGGCCAGCCTGGTCTACAATGCAGGTTCAAAGGCTAAGTAATAAGACCTGGTCTCAAGAAAACAAACAAACAACAACAAATCAGAGCTGGTCTAGGGTGTGAGGAGGACATAGGTTAGTTCCCAGCATCCACGTGGCAGATGGAACTCCAGTTCCAGGGGAACCAACATCTTTTTCTAGGCTCCTGGGGTACCAGGTAAGCACATGCACAGACAAGAGCTCATACACACAAAATAAAAATAACATGTTTAGGGCAGTCAGTAAAGTGTATGTATGCAGCCGAAGCCTGAGGTCCTGAGTCTGGATCCCCAGCACCCACAGCAAAAGGTGAGTGTCAGCAGAGCATCATCTCCATCCCAGAGCTGGAGAGGTGGGGACGGGGGGCCTGTCATCAGCCAGTCTAGACAAACGGTGAGCTCCAGGGTCAGGAAGATAGAGCCCGTCTCAAACAAGGTAACACACACCAACCCCAGGCACCTCCGCTAGCATGTGCCTCCCCACTAGCATATAACTCCGCTAGCATATAACTCCCCACTATTCACTGATGCGTTTCTCCAGTTTCTGTATTAGGTGGACAAAGTAAGCTATAAAGAACTCAAGTTCTGGGAGACACTTATATCTGGGGGAGAAAGTAGGTTTAAAAAAATACTCTTTTAAAGGCAAACAAATGCAATTAAAAACTTAAGTTTTGTTTTTTAAGACAGGCTGGCTTAAACTTACAAATCACCTGCCTCAGCTTTCTGAGTGATAGAATTATAGATGTGTGCCATCACACCCAGCAGGCAAATTCAACTAGAAAGATATAAGGAAAATGTGAAAATGAACCTGCTAAGAAAAAAGTTCAGTCCCGGTGTTATGTATGCAGTGTGCTACTGTCCCCCCGGCAGGCAGGCAGCAGGTCAGTTCTGGATTCCCATCAGCACACTAACCCTGAGCCTCAGAGTCCAGAGCACATCTAAGCCAGCAGAGATCTAAGAGGCAGCAGAGGCCACTGCACAGATTCCATGACTAACAGATTACTCTAGGGCAATGGCTCTAAGCACTGAAAACCTTAACTCCAACAACTCTTAGGTGTTCACCAGTAGAGAGAGCAGACAGTAGTGCTCTCCGCCTGCCAACGGGTACAGGGAAGCTATGAGCAGGCCTTAGCCCAACTGAGTTACAGGCTCTGGTAAACACAGGGTCCCCTTCTTACTCTCTCTTACCTCAGTTTCTTCAGCAGGCCTCAAGATAGAGCCCCATTTCCCTGGCTCCAATACTCAGGAGTCTGCTCTATTTCTGTTACAGAAACCCCAACAGCAGTGAAAAACAACAGATAATGGGCAATCTCATTTTCAAACACAAGTCTCTCTCATGTTGAAAAACCTTAAGAAATCTGTCAGTGTTTGTAGCTATTAACCCTCTTTAAAAGGATGAATTAGGCCACTGCCTAATGTTAAGTCAGGGGCTTAACATTTTCTCTAACTTTCCTAACAAGCTGCCCCAAAATAAAAACAATGCCATCCCAATTACTGCTTCCAAGTCTCAATGACCATTGTTTTGAAACTTACTGGTACTCCAAGTTTATCCAAGTTATCCAGGAAATACTTCACAGACTCACCCTGAAAACAAGAAGAAAACAAAGTTACAAGTTTATGCGGTATGGTGGGGCTGTACAAATACACTCTCCTTGTCACATTCAGGGAAGGTGAAGCAGGAGGATTCCAAAATGTAAGGATACATAAGGGAGAGAGACTCTTGTCTCTTAAAAAAAAAAAAAAAAAAAAGAGAGAGAGAGAAAGCAAACATGAAAGAAACTTGGACAAGCACTAGCTTTAAAGCACTTCTAATAGGCTGAAGGTACAACCGAGTCGTGGCATGCCCAAGGCCCTGGGCCAGTCCTCAGTGCTACAATAAATGACCACACAAACAGCCAATAAGAAGCCCACAATAGACTACCACATTTGGTATGGACGGCAGCATAGGTTTGCCTGATTGAAAGAAGACAAGTGCCTAGCATTACAAAAATTGTCACTGCGAAAGTTTTCAGGTCACTGTAGACATTGTGTTATGATACCAAATTTGGTAGGCCTGGTTTTCTGAAGGCTGGGCCCCTGTGGGCCTAGACACCCTAGCGAAGAGCCTCTCAGGTTCTGCCATGCTGAAGGCTCTGTATGTCCTGCACTCTGAATGGGTCTACACCTGGCCACAGGTTAGTAACACCTAACACTGGACACTTGGAACACAGCAGATCACTAGGTTTGGAAAGCTTTCCAACACTGTCATGTTTTATTCTACAGCATTTAAAACGCTATGCCAACAACTAAGCCAATATTATCACAAGTCTGTGGGAGGCTGTCGCACTCACAGTGGCAAACAGACTGGGTTTTCCTATATTCTAATACTCAGCTGAAAGCTCCAGCTTTGTACTACTACCAGCAACAAAAACCTAGGCCATTGTCCTTGAAACAGCGGGGCGGCCAAGTGTCTGAATGCCAGTCATTCCTTTAGGAAAAGCAGCTTGCCCTGAAAAGGGTGGCTGAAGCTGCTCGAAATAAGCCTAGTCATCCTTCAGTTTCTTGAGACCATCGGACAGTTTCTGTTTCAATACTATTCATCAGAAAGATGCTCAAAGGGAACCCGAACACAAGTAACCATTTCACTGTTCAATCTAGCAGTCTTCAGGGTAACTAGTCAGGACTTGGGGGCCGTGTGTCACATCCACACAGCACTTCTGGCCACAAAAACACAAACAACCAGTATGGACCTGAGGCTCATGTGCTGCTCTTCACCTGAGGTACAGAGGGTTGTGAGCTGCCTGGTGGGGTGCTGCCAACAGAACCTGGATCCTCTGGAAGAGCAGCCAGGGTTGAGCCAAATCTTCAGCCCCAAGTTTTCCCATGCAAACTGGGTAGCATCCATCCCCTTGGGCAACCTGTGTTGTTTGCAGGTTTAGAATCCCTTCCACCCATTGCCGGGCGTTGGTGGCGCACCCCTTTAATCCCAGCACTGGGAAGGCAGAGGCAGGTGGATCTCTGTGAGTTGGAGGCAGGAACTAAGCGCGCACACACACACACACACACACACACACACACACACACACACACACACACACACACGCACTGAACAGAAAAGTTTGTGTTGATGTGAGTGTATGTGTGCACGTGTGTACAGGTGCATATGCCTGTGATCCTAAACAGAAGTCAGAAGAGGGTGCTCCTCTATCACTCTGTCTAGTCCTTTTTGAGGTAGGCTCTCTCCCTAAACCGAGGCTGGCTTTTCTAAACTAGAAGCCAGCAAGGCCCAGAGACCCCCACCTCTGTCTCAATCAGCAATGGCACCTTGTTGCGTGGATGCTGGGATACAAACTGGTCCCAGCGACCGTGCAGTGAGCACGCTTAACTGCTGAGCCATCTCTCCAGCCCTGAGAACTATCTTTTTTTTTTTTTTTTAATTTTCCCATTTTTTAAGGCAGGATTTCTCTGTATAGTCCTGACTGTCCTGGAATTCACTCTGTAGACCAGGGATCTACCTGTCTCTGCCTCCTGAGTGCTGGGATTAAAGGTGTATGCCACCATGTCCAGTGGCACAGATAGTATTTCTAGGTACTAGCTTTTTAACAAAGTTTTCATTTTCCTTCGCTCCATCCTCCCTCTTGGTGAGGCAGGGTTTCTCTATGTAACAGTCCTGGAACTGGCTTTGTAGAGCAGGCTGGCCTCAAACTCACTGAGGTCCACCTGCCTCTGCCTTCCAAGTGCTGGATGCTGGATTAAAGGTGTCGGTCACCATTACCCGGCAGGGTTTCACTTTTTAAGGAATAGTTCTAATATCTCCATCTCCCTTACCGCTTCCCTCTTCTCCTCTCCTGCCCCTCCAGGGCTTCACTGAGTAACCAGGGCTAGCTTTGAACTCAACAGAACTTCTCTGTCTCTTGAGTTGCTGCCATTACAGGAGTGGGCTATGACCTGGCAGCTTTAATACCAATGATAGACAAACGGCTGTGAGTTCACAGTTTTCTGTACCGTTCCTTTGGGCAGAGTTAACACCTTTAACTGCTAAGCTCCATTGGCTCCTCCTCTCTCTACAGGTGAAACACTGAGTACAGTCTTCAACAGAGAATCCAGACAATGATAAAAGAAGCCGGCTGGTGGCACGGTCTGCCATCTGACACTCGGGACATGGAGGTGGCCTGAGGACCAGTTCAAGGTGACTCTTAGTCACATTACGGTTCAAGGTCAGCCTGGGCCCTGCCTCAAAGAATAAAGCAAACCAAAAAAAGAAAAGAAACCCACGTCCACATGAACAGTACAAATTCAACTACACAGAAAGTATTAGTTGAAAGTCAGAATACCCTCCTCGTGAGTACGTGAGTATTATCTGAAGCAGCATCCTTCCTTCCCTTCCAAGTAAATACTTACACCACCCTATTGTTTGAGAGGGTTTACAGAAACCAGTACACATCCTACTGACATTACAAATCTGTGCAAAACTCTTAGAAAGTCAGGAACATTATGCCCCATAAAACCTTTAGTGGTTTTTGGTCTGTCCCTAGGAATTTACTCAGCATAAACGAAAGATGCTCAAAAAAGGACATTGAAGCTGGGAGTGATGGCCCACACTGGAGGATCAGGAATCCACAATAGCCAACAGCTTTCGAACAGTTTAATATAAGCCTGGGAAACCTGAGACCCTTTCTCCAACACCACCTCAAAGGAAATAAGTAAATAAAATGTCATTATTCAGTGCCAATTTAAACAATAAAATCTGGAACATTATTTTTCCACACAGAATTAGGAAAGAAATGTAATGAATATTACATTATCAATTATTTGACATCACTGCCACATATCAAATACTTGTGCTAGTAAATTCTAAACTGAAGTAGCAGATTATAAAGTCAAAGCCTACAACCTTGACCTACAAGGCATTCTTCAACTTTTGTTCTTGCAAATGTGGCACAATACTCACACAGTGGAAAACCCAACTCATGTTTATGTCAGGGTCTTTAGTCGTTATTGGTGCTTAAGTTATTCAGTGTTTTCATGAACAAAAGCTGAGGTCATTCTGTATGTGCTTGGCTTTACCTTGCTGTTATTAAAAAGACCTTAATTCTACAGCACATCTTAATTCAAAGATCTATGAGACTATTGGCTCTGCTGTTTATGAACTCCTTAAAATATGGGCAGAGGTAACTCTGCAGCACTGTAGGTAACTACAGCTTATAATCCTAGCACTAGAAAAGCTGAAGCTGGGGGATTGCCGTGAGTTTGAGGCCAGCCTGCCTTACAGGGTAAGTTCTAATCAAGCTTGGCATATCCAGTGAGACCCAGAGGAAGAAGAGAGAAGGGGAGAAAACAGGAGAAAGGAGGAGGAGGAGGAAGAGGAGAAGAAATCACACCATTTTTAGAACTAAAAATACTTTAAACGGTTCAGAGTACATATTGCTCTTCCAGAGACCCTACCCTTGGTCCCCAGCACCTACGCCCCGCAGTCAACAGCCACATTCAGTGACTCACAATCACCTGTAATTCCAGTAATACCCTTTCAGCCTCTGTGGACACCTGCATTCGTTCTCGCACACACACACACATATACACACACACACACACACTTAAAAAGAAATCTTAAAAAGGATTTATTTTTACTTTATGTGTCCAAGTGTTTACCTTCTTGTATGTTATTGCATTGCCCAAAAACACCAGAAGTGTCCGATGCCCTGGAACTGGAATTCTATATGGTTGTCAGCTACCATGTGAGTGCTGGAAACTGACCACATGGATACTGGGAACTGAACCTGGGTCCTCTGCAAGAGCAGGAAGGGCACTTAACCTGTGAGACACCTGTCTACCCAATAATAAATCCTAAAAGCAAAACAGTTACTTACACACACACACACACATTTTGCACCACCTTCCTGCCTGTCTCTCAGTGCTGGGATTTCGGCAGAGTGCTTCCCACACCTGACTGAAGGGATGGATTCACCTGAAATCTTGTGGGTCCAAATTTAGTTCATAATTTATTAGAAATTCAAAAATCTCACAAAAACCAAATGGTAATGATCTCAGAAAAAAACTCACAAAAACCAAGTGGTAATGATTACAGAAAAAGCATAGACAAAAACAGGTCAGCCAGAGCTGTATAGTGAGATCCTGCCTCAAAACGAGGGAAAAAGAGAAAGGCATGTGCAATTGTTATCAAACCCAGCTTCCACAAACGATACACAATCTGGAGCAATTTACAGTCCTTTGCACGTTCAGGACTTTGAAATTAAAACAGCTTAAGGTCCCCACGTTTAAGCATATGATGGAGTTCTATTATTTCCAGTCGTGCCTTTTTCCCATCTCAGCCACATCGACTCAAAGGACATAATACATGCAGTATTATTCCTGTGGAAAACATATTTTGGCTGAGATTGTCTACAATCAAGAAGGATATGTTGGGGCTGGAGATAAGGGGCAATTTGGCTTCTTTCTTCCTCTTGCTCTGCCTTGTCACCCTTTCTTGACAAGGTTTTGCCATGTAGCCTATGCTGACTTTGAATTCAAGATACTTCTGTTGACACCTCTTGAGTTCTAGAAATTTTTATCATTAGCTTTTAAATAGAAAAACCATCGTGAAAATT